TCTCTTAAAATAAATAAACTGAAAAAAATTAAATAAAAAAGTAGGAGGTAGCTTTGATGCCTGTTGTTTTCTGCCACAATTCTGGAACAATAGGAAAACATATTATCTTATTATGTATATCCATTCAATCCAAAACTTAAGGACTTGTCTCTTTTCTAAAGAATTTCTAATTTTGTCACTTGCGAAAAAAAGAAAAGAAGCAATGAATGTGGCACTTTTAGGAATGTTAAGTGTTCATGTAAATAAGGTATAATATAAAATTTGAAGTTCTTAAGCATAATTCCACCCAAGTTCTACCCAAGTTCTACCAGGGACAGATAAATGCAGAAAGAATTCTACAGCCTCAGAAATATGGTAAGTCTCAAACATTATGGGGACAAGCATGCTGTGATTCCAAGTGTATGACATTTTGATATGTCACCTCGACATCCTCGTTATATCTCAGTCAGGTTCTGATGCTTGCTCTCTCTCTTCAAACTGGTTTTTGGGTTTTTGTTTTTGTTTTTGTTTGCCATTTAGAATGCCTTGTAATTTTTATTTGGTGATTGGACATGATGTACTGGGTGGAAGGAACAGTCCTTTAGTAATGTGGTGTCAAGGTGCAGAGGGTGGGAAGCGTTCTGCAATCCTATGATCAGGTCTCAGTCTTTTAGTGAGCTTTGTGCCTCTGGTCTGTGAACTCGCAAGTATTTTTCAGTTCCCTAATCCACCCCCCATCTTATGTGGGCCAGGATGACTAGACAGGGCTGGCGTTGGGTATTTCCCTTCCCCCTAGATCGGATAAAACCCCAATAATTTAGACTGTGGTAAAAGAGTTTCTCTTGAGAGTACCCCCTGTTAAGAAGAACAGAATGCTCTGGCATCTTTCAAAATGGCTCTTTTTCTCCTCCTGCTGTCAGAAGCATGATATTTTTCCCCCTAATATTCACTGGAGAACCTGGTTGAGTTCCTGAAGGTGAAGCTTACCTAAGTGTGGGGGACCTCCTGTGTCTGCCAGCCCCTCCAGAGCTTTTAATTCTCAGACTTGTCCACTCTGAGCCTCTAGCAATTACCCATCACAGGTCAGATTTTTCTGCCATAGCACAGGTTCCTGCAGAGGCCTCTGCTCAGGGCTTTCTGCTCCTGTGATTCTCTGCATTCACCTGGCTCTCTAATTGGGATCTCACTTTCTCTTATGGATCAAAAAAGAGTTGTTGATTTTCAGTTCATTCAGCTTTTTTATTTGTGGTTGCAACAGATTGACAACTTCCAAGCTCCTTACATGG